CATGACATTACAGTCTGTTATCTCAAACGTTTGTTTAAAGCTTGTCATGAACTAGGACAGTTACAGGGTTTTGCATATGTGTCCTGCAGCGCCGCTCGGTTATTTGCCTTTTCAACCCTCTGATGCGTGAGTGGGTCCTTTTTGACATTTTGATTCAAAATAATGTTTTGTATACTTTCTACTGTGTTTTATTTCACACAAGAATTATTTCATGCTTGAAATATTTTCATTTTTCACTTTTTAAAATGTTTTTAGAACAATTTGTAGAACATTTCTGACAATTTGGAGAACAGTTTTAAAACAAAATGACCACAGCAGCAATTTTACAACAATGATGAAATGTCAATAATGGACAATGTTAACATCAATTATGTATGTGTGGGCATGGGGGGGGGGAGCTGCAAAAGAGCATGTTTCTTGAAACTAGCTAGCTAATCAAGCTAGCTAACATTACTGTCTCTATTCTATTATGCTATGTGTATCACGCATGTGAGTGTGTGTATGTGTGGGATTTATTTATCCATCCATCCATCCCCCCACCCACCTACCTTCCGTTATTCCAGGGTTGGGTCGCAGGGTCAGCAGCCTAAGTAAGGAGGCTCAGTGTTCGCTCTCCCCAACCACTTGTTCCAGCTACTCTGGGGGAACCCATGGCGTTCCCAGACCAGCTGAGAAACATCGTTGGCATGTCCTGGGTCTCACCCTATCTCTAAGGGAGAGCCCAGACACCCTACAGGGAAAACTAATTTTGGCCGCTTGTAAACGTGACCTCGTTTTTTTCAGAAATGACCCAAAGCTCATGACCGTAGACAAGGGTAGGAACTTAGATCAATCAGTAAATCAAGAGCTTCGCTTTTTGGCTCAGCTCTCTCTTCACCACGACAGATCGGTACAACGCCCGCTTCACTGCAGACGCTGCACCGATCCGCCTGTCGATCTCCAGCTCCATTTTTCCCTCATTGGTGAACAAGATCCTGAGATACTTGAACTCCTCCACTTGGGGCAGGACATCCTCCCCGACCCAAAGAAGGCACTTCTATACTTTTCTGGCTCATTTATTTATGCATTTATTTCTATAGCTATGATAAAAGAACAAACCCTGAACACATTGACCAACAGGTTTTGTATGTCATTCAACACACTTTCTCTCTTGGTTTTCTTATCCAGGGTGTCAGACACACATAGAGACACACACACCCACGCGCACACACACACACACACACAAATAATACTCATGCACAATAAAGTATAGGTGGTAATGTTAGCTAGTTGGTTAGATAACTAGTGTTAGCTAACTTTGAAGAAGGCTAATATGTTGATTCGTGACAATAACGCTGTCACATATTCATGATTGACACACACCAACACATTTGTGAGATAAAAAATAGAGATAATACTTATATGTAAAAGTTCTTGCTGTGTAATATAATATTACTCAGGGGTGACACTTAGGTCTCAGTGTGTTTGGTTCACAGAAGAATGTTTTCCTGACAGTCACAGTTGGTAAGAAACAAAGATTCCCATTAAATTCCATAGGAAATGAATTCAGGTCATTTTGGACCCACTCACGGAAGAATGGGGTAGTAACATAAAACATGCTATTTCTTAAAAAATATAAAAGGTAAATTAAAAATTTTAATTGCATGATATCAGTAACATGTTTCTTGAGGAATACCTGTAATATGAAGTGATGAAAACTTTTCATTACAAAGATATTGCAAAAAGATGACCTCACCGGGTCAAAAAGGACCCACTTACGCATCAGAGGGTTAATGGTGCACTCTGGAGCGCTGTCTGGATTCATAATGGATCCTCGTATTTTTTTTAAAAATGTACAAATTAATACATAAATGCAAAAACAGGGAAAAGATTTTAGCGTTTTAGAGAAAACAAAAAGTATTTATCCTTGTGAGCTAATTGAAAAACAAACAAATCTAAGCATAGACTTTAAATTTATGACCGAATATTAGGGTCTGGCGACAGTTTTTAAACCTGTGTGAAAACGTCCGTCTGCCTCACCTCCATCACCCCAGCTTGTCGTTTCCTTCCCGCATCCAGTACACTTGCTGCGACTGCAAGAAGAGCTTCTGCTCGCTGTGCACCGAGGTTCTGGAGAGCCTACGCATTTGCGCCACCTGCCATTTGCTGAAGGCCACGGCGTTCCATCGGCCGCGGCTCATGCGTCTGCCAGTGAGGGACCTGCGTCAGTATCTGCTGCTGCGGAGCATCTCCACTGACACCTGCAGGGAGAAGGAGGACCTGGTCGATTTGGTCCTCTGTCATCGGGCTTTTGAGGTGGAGGACGAGGAGGAGGAAGATGAGGATGAGGAGGAGGATGATGATGATGATGATGATGACGACGAGGAGGTGGAGGACCCTAACACGGCCAGCCTCCTCTCTCACATCCATCGCACGCTAACAGATTCCATCGCGCCGCCTGCCTCGGAGCTGTCTGCTGCCACGCTGGAGGAATCGCTCAGCAGGAGCGAAAGTCCCGAAACCAACCAGGTGAGAAACCAACCAGAGAGCCCGATCGCTTTACAGACACAGCTCACCTCTGAACTGTCGGGATTCGCTGTAAGCGCTTGCTTGTGGAGTCGCTAGTCTTGTCTGTGAATGGAAAGTACAATGCACTTTTGTTTCCAGTTCACCCAGTAAGCCGGGTAAAGGAGAGCGTAACCCTAATCTACTGTAATCTGGCACTTTCCCGACTGAACATTGTTTTCCTGCAGGACTTGGATGAGACCACACCGGTGTCGCTCCTTAACTTGGACTCCAGTGAACAAACTCCTCAGATGATCCATATATTCATACTTGTTACAATACAAAAACAGATTTTAAGTCCTGATTTTTTTTATTATTGTTTTTAAAACAAAGCAGACATTTTTGTCTATAACAATGTTATTTGTTTTTTTTTTATTTGTTTTGTTTTGGTTTTTTTAGACGAGTCCTCAGACACGCCATGGAGCCGGAGCATCCGTCTCTGACATCTCCAGCGTGAGGGACATCAAGGGCCTGTCAGTCAGGCAGCTGAAGGAGATCCTGGCAAGGAATTTCGTCAACTACTCCGGGTGCTGTGAAAAATGGGAGCTGGTGGAGCGCGTCAACAGATTATACAGAGAAAAGGAGAAGAATACAAATACATGTAGGTGTTTACTTGGCTTTTGGTCTCACAACTTTCCTTATTCAATATCATATTAGGGCCAGAAAGGGGCCATTTTTAAATGGTCATTTTTATATTACTTTTTTTATTTTTATTTAAATCACAATGTACCAAAAAAGTGATGAAATGATGTCAAATATTTCCTGAGATTCGATTGGTTAAGTGGGGCCTCTTCA